AGGAGAAACAATCAAAATAACAATAAGAATCACAACTTATTCTCTACATAAGATTGACACCAGCCTACAATTATCATTATTATGTCAAATGATAAAGTATTGGAAATATTGCAATAAATTTGCTTATTGTCTTACACCATCCTGGAAAGGCTGTAAATCTCAACGTGTAGTTGAAACCGCAGGTGCCTTTTAAATAAAATGTTAGGCGGATCAACATATCATGATTTGCCTGCAGCGATGAAGTGTTAGCTAAGGTGCTGGATCGTATCCACGAATCAAACATAGTTTTATCACTGATCGTCTAACTTCATGAGAAAAGAACTAAACATTTGCGTATTAACCATCGGAGATGGGCCGTTATATTATTTCATACATGGTAATACAAAAACTTGTGGTCAGCCGGAAAGGTTTCAGAAATCACAGTGGTTTTCAGGTTTGAACGAATTGACCCTCAGTAATAATTATGGTCAATGATTTTTATTTCTTAAACGGAGACGCAACTTGTTTCATTGATGATAATATGGTCAGCAGTTGAAAGTTATAACATCTAGACTTTGTTACATATTCGAAGGAAAAATCGGACCATTATGAGGAAAACACCAAAACGAAAAGCTCTACTTAAATAAATGTGTGATACAGTCTGCCTCATGATGCAATAAATTGCCACCAAATGAATCATGCAGAGATTTTTACGCTGTAAAAAACCTAATACTCCCTCATATTAAGTCACGGAAGCCAGATGTTTACTTCAAAGGGTGATAAATGCTGGTGTGTATTACTGAAGACTGCAAAAGATTCAAGGATTAGTGGTGGGTCTTGTGTACTAATACTAAGGGAAATACTGGTAAATGTTTATACTTATGAGGATAAAATAAACCTTTGAATATACTTTAACTGCCTATATTTCTTCCCCTACAAAAAATGTACCTGTTCTTACTGAGTGCGACTGAAGAAGTCAGGTTGTGTGCAAGTGTGTTTGGAGAAAAAAGAGCGTGGTATCCAAGACTTAGGTCTATTGGGCTATGTAGACTAACAGCAGACATGGGTTTTGTCTTTGGTTGATGACCAGCTCGGTAACTGTCCCACAATCCTTCGAGCATTTGCGTCTACTGACTATTTCAAATACATCGTTTTCATATACCAAGACAGAATGACTCTAAGTAATGTTCTAAAACTTCGGTAGCACCGGAGACACTGTAGTTGTAGCCCTTAATTTGTTGCTTAGACCTAAAGACTGTGTGTATTAATGTATTAGTAGTTAAATAAACAAATGACTACCAGGTAAAGATGGCGGCACTACTTCGGACAGGAGATACTGTAACATTTACCAAACCAATATATAAATCTCACGATTGTGAATTTTGCTAATCTGTGTTGTAGACGCAGGCAGTGGGCCTATTGTCGAACAGTATCAGTGAATTAAAGATGAACGATTGTAGACTGGAATTGTACTTCGAATATACGCACTTAAATCTACACATTTTGTTATGATAATAAGCCCTTAATTTGGTCCCAGGCTTTGTGCTTCTCCTTGTGTGAGTCAGTGGTTAATTTCGGTCTGTTTTCAGCTATGTACATACCTGTTTCGCAGGTGAAGCTGCCCTAATCGTTACTACGGTATGTCGTATAATCGCCCATTGTGATTGCTATAGTACGCGAATGCATATGGACTAAGTAGGACACGGAAACTATGAAAGCTAAAGTCGCCTATATTCATCATGTTGCGTCGGTGGCACAGTGGTTAGGACTCTCTCCGACCATGCACATGGTCCGGGGTTCGATCCCCTGCCGACGCACACCCGATATCTATGGTCGGCCTGCGAAATTCGGGCTACCGATATCCAAGCTGAAAATTCCATACTGGTACTGAAAATACGGTGTGGCATCAAGCTATAATCAAAAAAATATAATATTACCCTGAGCTCAGCGTCTACCGATTAAAATTCTTTAAAAACCGCAGGTTAGAAGCAATTTACAGGTAAGCAGAGACTCTCGCACTAATGTAGGGAGATAGTTTGACCAAAGCGTCTATCACACAAAGCATCCGACAGCGTATATGGGATTAAGAATTCACTGTTCCCAAAGTTAGGTTCCTCTCCAAATCTGTTTGAGAAAAACAGTGTTCCTGATGCATCCTATGAGACAGTTCCAGCTACAAGTATTCATGAAACGAAACGGTATACAACCACGACTGCTGTTCACAAAATTGTATGCAGAATCAAACTAAGTGTGGGACAAATATGTGTTGTGCTAGCGGAAACGAAACCGTTTCATCCTAATCTATGAAGCAGCTCATAAGCCTTGCTGAAGACAACAAATGAGGTGCATAAATGTGACACTGGTTCTGAAACCTATGTTTACGTTGGCTTCGATTATCAGTTAGCTGATTTTTCCTCATGCGATCCTAGTGCCTATAGAAAAACAGTACTATGTGGGTAAACCTCAATATATCAGTAATTCTGGTGTCCAAATGTAGCTTGTCAAGGGCTAACTTCTGACGGTAGGAGATGATAAAAATTTTAGGCAAGTGTTTACAGTGGTCAAGGAAAGTCATGCATGTTTACTTGTGAGACAATTCCGATAAGCTTCGGCCTATTCGCTGAGCATTTTTGCCTTTGTCTGAAGGATATGAATTGCGCCATGTATCCTAAGAGAAGGAAACAAGAAGCTCAGCTGTAGATGTTATTCCTGAAACACCAGTCAGAGCTTTGGTTAATCGCGTATCTTGGGAAGGGTCTGTCCAGGAAAACGATCAGTACGATAACTTATATTTTCGTACTGTTCGTGGAATAGCTTTCCACACTCCTTGTGGTGTTCAGTAGATGGAAGTTGCACTCTGAATGCGAGCACAGCCAGATCACTAATGAAACCATCGAAACTCAAGTTTTCGGTATGAACGCGGGGAACAAACTGACAAAAATGGGTTAATAAGGTTCCAGCGATTTACTGACTTTTTCGCTACTTTGGAACATACTCCTATGATTCACGAACAAAAAGCACATATCAACAACGCCAGAACACGTATTAAGGTGACAAAAACCATGGGATTACCTAATCATATCTAGTTATTTCAAAAATACGTAGATATCTCAACGAAATCTTGTTATTTTTCGACGTTCAAGCAATCCCGAGGTTTCTCAGGCACAAAATACATTTTACGCTGCAGAAATTACTCTTATAAAGAAAATCTTAGAATGCTTTAAAGCAAACAAGAATGCTCCTCACAAGTGGGATCCATATCCTGTTCTCAAGAATCGAATATAACAGCCAACGTTTGGAAGGCACGAATAGTAGTTGATGATAGTGGAAACTTGAGTTCAGCCAAGCAAAATATCGACAATAGTATGGTAACACAATGTCGGTAACCATGCAGCGTCCTGTAGTTGAAAAAAGTAGCCCTAAGAAAATCAACCAACCAAAATCAGAGACAAATGAAAAATGCTAAGTCGACAGCTGTTAAAATAATGGAATGCAAGCGAAAGGTAATGGATATTACTCACAAAATCAGTGGGGATACCAAAACTAGTACGAGTTCTTCGAGAGGAGAATACTTCATCAAAAGACAGTGAACATCAGGATTTCACTCTGCCTCCATCAGATAATGGTTGACTAATAACAGATCATTACACCTGTCTAGAACTCCCCAATTTAGATGCATCTGTGAGAGCTGCCAGCTCATGCCTAGAAACAACTTAATTAGCAAATGGTGGTCAGAATGTCCATATAACTTCTGTGCCTTTTCGAAGCTGGATATTGAGATAATAACATTTTCCCGTCCCAGGAGTAACTGAATATAATCAGCGGAACAATATTTTTACGTCTAAAAACAATGAGTGTCCTCCTAGTATCAAATATTCTCAATAGTGGAGTACTTAGTTACAGCGGAAAATCCTTCTTTTGAAGCAAGATAGTTATGCCGCAATTATGGACGACACCACAACAAAAGACAGTAAGCGAATTTTCGGCGTGCATCATATTACAACGGATTGTCGAGAGAGAAGTGTAAATTACATTGACTCCAATTTCCATTACCAAACTAAGAGCTCCACCCAGATGAGGAAGATCATCTGTCATACAAGGTAGTCTTGAATTATTCATTTCTCCACGTCAAAATCTTCACTTGGTACATGACATTATCGTGTAGCTGTTGGATAAGTTTAGTGAATGCATATAAAACTACAACCCATAGTACTGAAGCGGTACCTACATTACTTCATTACCAATCCTGTTGAAGACTTTCTAACAGTCAGTAAAGCTAAGATGGAGAGTTGGCAGACATTATGAATTCTTTTAGGTAACAGCGATGAGTAGCACTATGATTATCCCACAGATTAATTTTTTTCCGAATCCAGCATATTTCGGGGCATCTTTTGGACGTCCCAGACTATCTGGAAAATGGAGCTTGATACTTTTCTGGAGTGAATAGCAATATGGATCCGCTGCAGATTGCGTGGAGACGTCAGTAGCCTCTGTTCGGAAGTTCAGTGAGGTAGTCCTACATGCATTCGGTATTACCTTTTTTTCCTTTCATACCCTCTGCAATAGTACTGTTAGAATTTCACCAGAAAAATACTACATGAGACCGCTTTTTTTCAAAACCTATCAAGTCTAGGCGATATTTAGGACTTCTTGAATGAACTTTATGGCCAGCACTTGTGAGAGTCATGAAATGATTGGGCAAACAATGTTTATAGACTCCAGTTTTAAGTATATGCACACTAAAATCTCTTGGTCCCTTATAAAATAACGAATCAGCACATGCTGCTGAAGACATTCTATCACAACCTTAACGTCCATGAAGAAGCTTTACTTAGCCCAGAAAGGTAACGGAATTTTCGAGATGACGCAATGGAAAAATAAAGTGACGGTAAACATCTGGCTGTTCTCATACCATATTCCTGACTAGATTTGGCTAACCTATAGTAATCGAGGTCCCTGAGCTATTTTAATTCAACGATACGTTTGATGTGATTTGAAACAAAATTATATTTATACGTATAGTATATGTAGGTAGGAATAGAAAACCGCATGACGTCTTCACTAGCACTGTTAATTTTGTTTAAGTGTTCCAGTCGTTAAGGTGGATGTAATCTCGGTTTCTGTGGCAATCCAAATCGTTAAGTCATGAGAAAGGTCTTAACACTCGATACCATAAATCCGAATTTGATAAAGGTAGAGTATGCGGTACGCGGTCCAATTGTAGACCGTGCTCTACAAATTGAAAAAGAACTGAAACAGGTATATACTTATGTTTTATTTTTATAAATTGCTAGGGTGTTAGCAAACCGTTTAAAGAAGTCGTGAAATGTAATATTGGTGATTGTCATGCCACTGGACAAAAGCCAATTACATTTATTCGTCAGCTAACAGCCCTTACAACACTGCCCAATCTGTTTGATGACAAAAGTCTCCCTGAAGATGCTAAGTCTAGGGCTACGGCAATCCTCTCCGGATGTTCTGGTTCAAGTGTAGGTAAGTTCTTTTCTTCAATTTTTCCCTCACCCTTTTGTCAAAGTACCTCAAACTTATCATATGCGCTTAAAATAGACTAGGTTAGCAGGACTGTATCTTGTTAACAAATAATGAGAGAAAATAAGCATAATGAAAATATACGTGTAGTAACTACACAGTTTGACAACTTAGTAAGCATTCCAGTCAATGAATAGCATAATCACATTTACATGCATCACACTAAAACGCTTTAAATTTATGTACTGAATTTTTTGCTTGTTTGTTATTGTAACTCCTCCTTTGAATTTTTTGTGTTGACACATTTTTACCACGTATAGTAGTTTTTTGTGAGTAGTTGCTCGTACTGCTACAGTATACTTTGTTTGGAAAACGACTGTATTCATGCTTTGATTGAGTTATTTTATTTGGTTATTTTTTGTCGCTCACCATACTATTTACTGATCTACCTGGTAAATTTGATGAGACATGGGTTATTTTAAAGTATGGCGAGTAGGAACTTTGCGTTATCAATTTTTTCATCGCGTCCCAGTAATTATATAGGGTGTTAACCAATGATTTCGGAATAGGTTTAAACGGGATACGATTAGTGTCACAGGATCCTTAGAAATAATTTTAAATATAGGAAGTGAGGGACATAGTAATGATGTACGCAAAGTGCCCCTATAGAATTAATTATCTCTGACGAATTTGATTCAGTTTGTTGCGCTGAAGTAGTAGTAATCCTGCTTATTAAAATCATATATATTTATTTCCTTTAACATGTTTTTGGAACATTTAGTTCTCATTTGTTTTCCAAAACAGTTTTGATTTCTTTGGCTGGAATCTGGCCCAGTACTCGGGTTTTTACATTCAAGGAAATTGACTGATTTTCCTCAACTCATTAGATATAATTAAAATATAGGCCAGTTAGTATTGCATGTAAAGTTAAATTAATTTCAGTAATAATATACTCTCTAATTTATATTGTATGAGCGTTTTTTGATACTTGGTAGTGCTACACATCAGTATGAAACCGACAGATGTACTGAGTTTGTGTCTCAATGTCAATAATAAGCTTTTTATTAGTATAACTCGATTGTTGCATCACTATGCTTACTTTGAGCAAGCAGTTGTTTTAGGGAAGTCCGTTAATTGTTTCAGGTTGCTTGACTGGTGCAAAACTAGCTTGAAATATTCCTGAGTCATTAGATCTACAGATATACAAAACACTAAGAAGAAACTTTTGAGTTCATATTGTCTCATTATTTTTATGTTGCTTTGGTTAGATAAGCCCAAGGTGGGATGCAGATGACGCAAAGCTATGTAACTAGGAGAAAATGTATCTCATTACGTTACATACGGCTGTCTAATTATAAATGTATAGAACCTGGGCCTTGTAAAGAAATAAGTATATAATGTGCTACCTCATTTTACTCAGGTTAAAGGAAAAGAAAAGTCAAATGCCCCTGTTTTATTCACGGAAGTGATTACATCGGACTTCTGGTAAATAATACTATTATCCACAAGGTACTCATGTTTTGCGAAGTATCAACTAAAGAGTTTACTATGCTTCCGGAATAAACTGAAGCATTCCCTGCAAATTGGCGTTTCTCCCTTAAAACTATCATTTCTACCCGTTAATATGCCTTTAAAGGAATCTGCTGTGAAAATAGGTTTGAGATTGCAAATACGAAAGGTATTATCCATCATAAGCTTTGCTCATTAGGTCCTATTATTGATTTTTTCTTTGGGCTAATTGACTACATTTAGTGTGTTAAGTAGTTTTGAAAAAGATAATACATTTTCTAAATGGTGGCAGGCAGTTATTCGGCTCAATAGACTTCCATCTTGATTGTTCACCGTTTTGACTCAGCCTCTTAACTAGCATACAACGTAGTTCAGAAGCTTAATTAACAGCACTGTGAAATGTTAAGAGATGAATTTGGACTCGATTAGATAAACAAGTTCACTTATGTGTTGGATCCTAAATAGGGTCATGTTGCTAACCAGTATTTCATAACATCGTGAAATAAATTTTTACACTACAAGGTCTTCGAAGTTTCATTTTGGAAGCTTACAGCAACGACTGGATAATAAAAATAAAATAATAATGCATTGAAATACGACGTATTTTTCTTTAGTCACTAAATGCTTTGTTATTCTCCTGATACTATTTTGAATGATGTATTAGTGCTGATTGCTTTTCACATTTGACTGTTCACTACATCGCTTAATTCTAGGTTCCTATAGTCATTCACTTGGACTTGAAGTGGTGCGTAGGGACGTGGCAAAATACATATACGAGCGAGATGGTGTTGAATCAAACTGGGAAGATATTTTTCTGTCGAATGGTGCCACAGAAGCTGTAAAGGTATTTTGTGATCGCAATGAAATTTGTTTCTATTCAATATGTTTCACTGTAGCAAATTTAACTTTGATGGAAATTTAGAATTATTTGCCTTCCTATGTCTTCTTCACTTATTTCATTCATTAATACTCAAAAATTTCACGAAAGTTGAGGTTTGTTATTATTTTATTATTTTTCCCTTGGGTTCTGAGTGGAATAAAGAGGCTACAACAACATCTCCACTTCCTTTTATTCCCTGTTGTCCTCTTTAGCTGGTTTCGACGATTGCCCAAACTCCCTCGTCTCTTCCTCACACGATCTCCTCAATGTCACCCTCACACCGACGACCAACTCGTCGCTTCCCATTTGGATTCCACTCTAGCAATGACCTGGCGTGCGATGTCAATCGGCGGCCTCCTCAATGTATGCCCGATCAATGCATCCACATTTTCTCCTACATATTTGTTGAGCAATCGGCTCTTGGTTGGTTTTTTTTCATCCAGAGTTTCTTGTTACTAATTCTTACTGACGGCCACTTGGTCTTCAGTATGGAGCCAGCGAAGGCGGCTGTTGACGAAAGTCTGCAACCTGTTGGAAATGCCAAGTTTATGACCTGTATAGAAGGACAGACTTCAAATTTGTGTTGAAAATCGCAATCTTGTTGTTGATGCTGGCTGAGTGCAGAAGATTTCCAAGGCGTATCTTGCCTTTCCGATTCTGACTTTAACATCTTCATCCGTTCCGCCATCTGTGGTTGAAACCGTGCTTCCTGACCAGATAAGTGGAGTAAGTGACCTCTGTTAAATCTCTGCCGTTGATGGTGATTGGTGCTGGTTGTTCTTGCTGCTCGTTGGTTATCTTCATCACTTTCGTCTTCTCTATGTTCACCGGGAGTCCTGTCTTCTCTGGCTGCCTCTTCAGCCAGTTTGTTTGTTTTCGTCTGCAAGTCTTCGAGTTTGTGTGACATTGGACGTATATCATCTGCGAAATCCAGATCTTCTAGAGTCTTCTTATCGGTGGTCCAGCGTACTCCTGTCCCCTCGCTGCACACAATCTGACACGTAATCCAGACCATCACAATTAAGAATATCATCGGTGATAATAGGCAGTCAGACTTGTCCTACTCCTGTATTCACTTCAGAGGTTTAGCTGTTTTCCTTTTGAGATCATCTGACATGTGCCACTGTCATATAACCAGCTGTTGAATGAAGTTGATAAGGATTTAAGGACCGCACGCCGTAGTGTTGAAGTAGTTTCCAAATTACATCTCTGTTGACACTGTCTGTGAACACCTTTTAGAAATTGATGAAGTTGAGGTGGAGAGAGGTTTGACTGCCACTCTATACTTTCTTCGATGACGATACGTAGAGTTGTAGTTTAACCAGCACATGATTTGTCTATCCTGAATCCAGCTTGTTCTGGTTGTTGGGGTGGAGTTCTGTATCCAGTGAATCTTTTATTCTCTCCAGGATGGTGCGACTTAGTATTTTACTCGGCTAGAACGAGAGCACTATTCCACACCAGTTCTTGCAGAGTGAGGCGTAAGTCGCCCTTCTTTGGCAGCTTGACAAGGTAGCCAACCTTTCTTCAAATCGGTAGGTACCTTTCTTTCTTTCCAAACCTTTTGCAATAATGGTGTGACCACATCTGCTGAAGTCTGTAGGTTCGTTTTCAGTGCTGCGGGAAGGGGGGATTCCGTCTGGTCCTGCTGCCTTCCCAACTGGCCTTCAGTAGCTTGATCGCATTTAGGATTTCTGCTTCCGTTGTAGGATTGGTGTCCACTGTCAGGCAGTTCTGTGCGTGCTTTTGGTGGTAGTGTATTTCTGGGCGAGTTACTAATGGTAGTCGATTCAAGAGTCCTTTAAAGTGATCAGCCCATTGTTTTATTCGTTCCTCCTCCTTGTTGATCAGGTTCCCTTGAACGTCTTTTGTTGGTTTCATCATCTGGGTTGACCTCTTCCGGGATAGAGACCTGGTTATTTGATATAATTTCCTGAGGTCTCTTTTACATGCGGCCTGCCCGCATGTTCTGCTTCAGTTGCCAACCAGTGCGTCGTAGAATTGTCGTTTGTCTTTTTCAGCACTCTTCTTCACTTCTCCATTCAGTGCAGTGTATATTGCTGTGAACTCAGCTTCTCCTTCTTCTGTCCATCTTTGCATCGAGTCATCTCTTTCACCATCCTCCTCTCCTCTCGTCTTCTTGATTAGCTTCCAGGTAGGTGTCTGTTGAGAGCCATCCCTTGTCTTGTCTCTTCTTTCTTCATAGAACATTTGTACACGTTTCCTTGGATATCGCCTTCAGAGAGTTTCAATGTTCTTCCACGCAGGTTTCCTCAGTGATGCCATGTGGTGTCTCCAACTTTGCTATGATCTGGTCTGTAGTGAAGGCATCACTTGTAGTTTCGTCTTTCACTTTCTGAATGTTCAGCTTCAATTGTAATGGTCTGTCTCCAGTTGTTTTGAGGGATTTCAGCTTCACCTTGAAGTTTCCTTGAACTAGATGACGGTTTGAGCCCGCCCACATCTGCTCTCCTTATCGACTTTGCGTCCAACAGACTGGCTGCGTCTCCACTTCCTTGAGATTGAGATGAAGTTTTTCTGGTTTGTGGTGTGTCTGTCAGGTGAAATCCATGTTGCTTTGTGTATATCCTTGTGTTTGTACACGCCGCCTGCAATCACAAAATCTTTGAAAGCACATAAGTTTGCTAAAAGTTCTCTGTTCTCACTGATTTCTTCGAGAGCCTCTCGACCCATGATGAGTTCTCTTCCTGTATCATCTGCTCCCAGTTTGGCGTTCATATCGCCCATGAGGATTTTGACGTCAGAATTAGGAATATTGTCCATTACCGTTTGTAGTTGTCTATAGAAATCATCCTTCTTCTCTCGTGCCGTGTTGTTTGTAGCACTGTGAGTAGCACTGGGCAATCGCAACCTTCCCTCCTTCCTTTTGAGTTGAATCTTGCTGTCATGATCCTGGATGAGGAGATTGGTTCCCCCTTTATTAGGGCTTTGGCTGCCACTGGTGACATCATGATAGCCATTCACTGACTGAGTGTGTTCGTGGTTGTCGTCTGGGTGTCCAGACCGGAGTTGGTTACTGACTCTCAAGTTGACAATTTGGACAATCCGCATCCATTCCATCTGCTCTCGCAGATACCCAACACTTGTATGCCTTCCCAGTCTCATTCATTGTACGGACATTCCACGTCTCCATTCTTACTTTTGCTTTCATTGAGGGAAGACACATTTACTGGCTGACTGGCTTCCCGAAGGTTTTCACCAGCCCGCATCATTTCACCTCTCCGATTTGAGTCAAGAATAAGATTGTTATTTGAAGCTTATACATTTTTAATGTGTTTTCTGAGCGTTGAAGTTTCTCTAGCGGTTTGATAGGTTTAGTGGTGTAAGGTTGCTAGCCCTACGTAAAACCCTTCCTCTTTACCCGGGCTTCAATCCGGCTCGAAAACTAGCAAGCTAGTTAACTATGCGAGGTTAAGTTGAGGTTTACACTCGTCAGATTTTAAATTTGAAGTTACTGATTGTTTTCTGGCCTGATGTTTTGTAAAATGCACCGTCGGTTTCCCAGGATAGTAGCACCACTTTATTATGCAGTTAGTTAAAGGCTTTTCACTGGGACCATACCGACTTTGTTGAAGATTTTATTATGCAGACCAGCTTCACAAATACTGAGAGAATGTCGGGCATTTTACTTGCTAGATTACAGAATAGGTTAGCAGTCTCAGAGTCGACATACTGTCTACCTTCTCTTGTTGTTGTGAACAAAATGTTATCGCTTTTTGCCTCACGGAATTCAATAAATCAAAACTCATGAAGGCCAGTTATCCGATGGCATGCTGGAAAAATAGGCTTTTATTTTTATTGCTCTCTGACTATATCCTTACTATGTGTATTTTATTCCTTGTTTTCAGGTTTTACTCCAGATGATATCTACAGGCGCTCAAGGCAACGCTCGAGCTGGTGTTATGATTCCAATTCCACAGTATCCTCTCTATTCAGCTACGAATTCAGAATTCAACAACTATCAGGTTGGTCTTTTGTTTTCATATTTTGAAATTATTTCATTAAAACGATACATTCCATCGAATCGGAAGTCAGTTCTCACAAAGAAATTTACCTGCTCTGGAGTCAGTTTCCTAGTATTTGGAAGAGGAATATTTTTCTCAGGTATTGGGTGTTGTGGCCCCTGAACCCGTTAGGATTCGAAATTAACGAGAGGAAAACTGTTGGGTGCTTATAAGACATGAATATTTAAGTGAGAATTTTTTCGTCTAAGTCAGAACTCCTGGTCGATCGATTTATGTCACAGTGGCTCCATGGTAAACGTGCTCGCAACATAACCCAAAGGTATTGGGTTCAGTTCTCAGTGGCGCTGTTGGTAAGGAGTCACAAACTATGACAAACAACTGTTTTAAAGGATCTCTAACTGGTGTCAGCTCGTGATGTAGCATGCGATAAAATTAAAGTGTGCTTCATATGTACTATCTGGTTAATGCATCTTATTTAACTGTTAATGGAATTTCCAAAAACTCTACTTCCGGCCAATAGACAAACAGATGTATTATTACCATTATAAATTTATATTTCCTAATCTATGAAAAAGAGAAATGATTTTGTTTTCACTTCGTTGTAGTTTAGTTATAACAGCTTTATCAAAACAGTAGTAAATTGGAATCCACAAAATCCTACTGTACATATGGTAACTTGATGAAGGTTCTGTATTAAGTAATTCCGCCTTGTTAAGTGTACTTTGCATCACATCTTCTTACCTCTTGTTCTTAGTTAATATATTCACTTAAACAATAATAATGAAAATTGTGTGTTAATTTTAACATTTAGCATAATAAAATTTTATGCTGTTGATTGATTATAGCTAACTGTTGGTGATACATTGTGTAAGGATTTCCTAAGAACGATTATTTGTAGTGATTATCTCGGTGGCACAGTGGTTAGGAGGCTCGCCGACCATGCACATGGTCCGGAGTTCGATCTCCGGCCGACGCACACCCAATATCAATGGTCAGCCTGCTAAATTTGGGCTGGCGGTATCACATGCTGAAAACTTCACAGATGTACCAAAAATACTGCGTGGAATCAAGCCATAATAATAACAATTAAAAAAAAATCATGAGACGAAAAAATGTCAATATTTTAATAGTTTATAACAATATGCTCTCCGTCAGTTATGCTTCTATATTTTTTTATAAATAACCTAACCTAGGTACATAAGTCACGCAAACTAATCTTGGGATTCTACATACCTAAACAGAGGAGATATAAACACTTCTCAACACAAAACTCGTTATCATTAAGTGTTTACTTTGGTAAGAGTCTGACTTGTAGAATGAATTACTTGACTTAATTTCTGAAACTTCATTGCTTGTTAGATTCTTATGTTAGAACAGTTGTGTAGCATAAAATGGGATTAAAAGCTTAGTACAACTTCATGGACTTAGTTACAGTCTTTTTCGTTTAAAACTTTCAGTAGGCATATGATATTTCATTGTATAACCTTTTTAAATATATTATCGAAAAGTGATATTGTAATATAACATTTTTCCTCTGCATATTCTTAAAAAAAAATGTAACAGTCTATCCACAACCTTTATTTCTTGTTTAAAGTTGCAAATTAAGTGAAGCATGAGATTTTAAGCCTCATAGTTGAGTTTTGGGAAGCATACTTTTACTTTTTCTAAGGGTAATAGGTTGACTTATGAAATACTTGGAATCTCCTACGAATGGTCTTTACTGCACTTCCATCTTAAAAACAGGGTCATACTTGTGATTTTGTAGCGTTCTTGCATAGTCAATTGAAATATCATAGACAGATTCTTGTCGGTTTAAAATCTTTATCCAAAGATTAAAGGACCTCAGATCTTTTGTTGAGTTATGTATTTGAATCGACGTACACTGAGCATGATTCAGATGACTAAACAGTCTACTCTTTGAAATGAATGATAAAACACTGCAAACAAACAGAATTTTATTATTACCGTTCTGTTCAGAAATCCTTACGGTTGTAATGGTATTTTAGTTTTAATGCTGTTCTATGATGCACTAATATCAATTGACAGATTAATGTATTTTGTTTCAAAGTAATTCAGAAACTTGGTTCAACTCAATACAATTTCAGGCATTAATTGTTAACCGTGTGGTTGGAGTTGCATTAGATAATTGTGATACACTCACTGAAAACAAACTGCCATTCGCTGAGTGTGAAAATACTGACTTTCTAGTTTTTTACTTAAGAAGATGGCAAAACTTGTTATTACATTATAAGTTTCACATTAATGAGCTCAAGTATACTGGACAAGTTCAGGAGGACTGTTCGATTTAAATTTCTTGAGTCACTTTCCTCGAACTAAATTTTTTTCAGTGATTCACTGCCTATATTTTTACCGGTTGTGTGAGGTTACATAATAACTATTTTTATTCATCATTCTGTATTAATGATGGCTATAGAATTCAGTCAGTTTTCGCCTAAATCTAATAAAAAAATGTATGTTATTTGTCGAAGTAACTCAAATGTTTTATTCTAGATCAACTACTATTTGGATGAAAATGACAATTGGGCATTATCCACAAGTGAATTGGAGCGTGCTCTGGCCAGTGCAAAAAAAGAGTGTATACCAAGAGCTATAGTTATCATCAATCCGGGGAATCCAACTGGTCAAGTCCTATCACGCAAATGTATGGAGGATATAATAAAATTTGCCGTTGAACATGAATTAGTGATGATAGCCGATGAAGTTTATCAACATAATGTTTATCAGCCGGAGAAATTTCCCTGGACTAGCTTCAAAAAGGTTTTGTCTGAAATGGGTTCAAAATATGCAGATAAATTGGAACTGGCCTCTTTGATGTCCTGCAGTAAAGGTTACATGGGAGAGTAAGTACAGTTTGTAAATTTTCTTGAGTTATCAGACAATTCTTATGCCGAATGAGAGTAAACAATTATTAAGTTGAAGCATCCACCAATATTTTGAAGGAATAAATTAACAGAACCGTAATCATAAATCACAAAACTGATGATTTTTTATTTTTCCGTACTCTCTGGCGTTGTGATGACTGTTTGAAGGGAAATTAATAAGAATGACTCAGTAATTAGCCGTTATTTCAAAGATTTATTTATGGACATAAAATTGTAAACAATTTTAGTCTTTTTTTAAAATAAATTTGGAATGTGCAACAGTGTGAATAAAATAACGACTCAATGTAGCCGTAGTCATTTAAGCTATATTAACATGAAGTGTTTACTTATTGTTGAGTTAAACATGTTTAGTAAGTGAATGTGTGCTGAATTTGTGGTTTTTAGCTGTTTTTAGGATAGAATTAAGTCAGTCAATCAGAAATGTAATAAATATACAATATATATCTTCTGCTTATTCTACTCATATTGATTTCAGATGCGGTTTCCGTGGTGGTTATTGTGAATTGATAAACTTTGATGCTGATGTAAAAACACAACTATTCAAGGCTCTTTCAGCACGATTATGTCCACCTTTGTTGGGTCAGGTAAATTAATTGAAATCTTAACTGGTATAATCCGCTCGTTTTTGATTTCTATGCCTTTAAAGGCTGAAATAGTAATTTGTAGTGTGTTTATATAATTCTACCCGAGTCAATGTCATGTTAACTATGCTTATTTATTACGTCATAGAAATATCAATGTATTGTCCAGACTATCTGAGAAGCTATTACAAATATGCTTCACAAATTTTCCAGTTAGATTCTCTTCTATTTATATTGGTAAAGTGCATACTTGGTTCGATGTAGGTCATTAAAAATATTTTCTTATTAGCTGGTAGACGTTCCAGACACAGTTTATTATTTATAGTTGTGCTGTGATATTATTATAGACATAACCAATAGAATCAGGAGAATTTATTGAGTTGTCACATGCACCTGTATAATTGATTAGAAGGCATGAATATATTGATTTCTGTATCTATTAAATATCTGTCTGTATGATAATTCACAAGTCACCACAAATTTTCATTCCTACGTAATAATTCATTCTACTTCCATTCGAAAAGGCCTATTTGCAACACTTACTGTCAGGGAATTTTGAAATATGCATACTAGTATATTGCATTTCTTTCAGAAATGTCCACATAGTTTCATTTTAATTTACAAATTAGTCATTCTTTAAAGTCTTTTACGTGCTTAATTTACTTTAGGTGGCATTGGAAGCCGTTGTGAATCCACCCAAACCAAATGAACCCTCTTATGCTCTTTTTGTTAAAGAACGCGATAGTGTATTAAATGCGTTAAAAGAAAAAGCTGAATTAACGTATAACTCGTTAAACTCACTACCGAATATGTCTTGTAACCCAGTACAGGGTGCAATGTATGCTTTTCCGCGGATACATATACCACCAGCAGCTATTCAGGAAGCTAAAGTATGTTGTTTTGGACAGTTTGCTTGGTTTTAAGAAATTCTAGCACTCGATATTTTTAATTCAGTTTGTTCTCTTTGTTTTGTTAAATGTGCTAGGAGTATTATTCAAGAAGATAGAAGAAAACTTCATAGTAGCTGCCAAAGTGATAGTGAAGGTTTGTAGCTAAAGAGAAACCTATTAGTTGCTTCACGTTCTCTGAATACGTGAATATAGAAAAAAAACACAAGTCCGCTAACCCAGAGACTGGTGATCTGAATGTAGAGTAATCAAACGTTTAGGGTTTCGAAGACTGTCACGATGAATCTAGAAATTAGTTAATGAAAGGGTTCTCGCACTGTCTTATACTAACCAGAGGATCTTATCCCGACGCTTGATCTTTTCAGCAGTCTAATGGGACTGACTACCACAACACCAGTTAGCGATTCTGTCACGAATAAAAATATCAACACTGATTCAAAAGACTTTTCTGACATTTTCAAGGTTGCATAACTTCTAGTGCAGACGTAATATACGACAATATAGTACTGAGAATATATACTATGCAGTATCTACTAAAAGCAGAAAATATGAAGAGATTAGAGGCTTTTTGTCATTAGAGCGTTCGTTAAATTACTTGTGAGAGTTGGAGCAGTACCATAAGTCATAATGAGATGAGGCGTAGTCTACTGCATGATGAAGTATAGCAACTTGGACTGAAACAGTTTCATGCAGAATTCTAAGTTGTTCCTCTAGTCAGCAAGAAGACGGACATAGTATTATTATATTCACTTGTCGTCACCTTATAAAACTGTATCCTGTACTACATGCTTTTCCTGTTGCGATTTTCTAGGCTGTTTGTGCGTTATGGATATTAGGCAAACGATATTATTAATACTCCCACTGTTTTCATTATTTATTATCAAATTAGATAATAGAGCACTCCAGTGGAAAATGTATATTTAGCCTTCTCCAACATTATCTTAGTATTCAAGAGTTGAGCTTTTCGTTAGATGACAATGTCATCAGGACGGTTCCACAAAATCAAACGAAGTGGATTGGTTGATTTCATTTTTCTTACTTGTGTATATTGTTTTTTATTGTCTAAAACTGACTGAATGTCCTTCATTGTTATTTTTTATTCTTCCCCGTTTTTACAACTGAAAAATACAGAAAAAAGGACAAGCTCCAGATTTCTTTTATTGTTTACAATTATTGGAAGAAAAAGGTATATGTGTTGTTCCTGGCTCTGGTTTTGGACAGAAGGAGGGGACATACCATTTCAGGTATTTTGTTTTATGTTGGCTTGGAAACAAAATATTTACTATAATCTTTTTTTTCATGTATTTCACTAACCATAAAATGTAATGCTTGGGATATTATTTATGAACGTGTTTGGTTTCAAACTACCTTACGAAATGATTGTCAGTAAAGCAAACAATTCACAGTGCACTGTGATGGTGAGCCACCTAGCATTGTGGCCACATTGCAAACTTCACCGATTGAATTCAGTCTGCACCAAAAGATAGGACTGTACACACTAAACTGGTCAGTAACTAGTGTCCAAATCAACAGGGTTGTTTCTTCAATATCTTGGCAGAGATGAAATTCACCCTATAACTGGGACAATAGGTTTGTTTGCTCAGGAAATCATTGGTGATTATATTTTGAGGACAGTGTTTTATCATTGAAGATAATCGATTATTTAATTCCTTCTGAGTGGTTGAAAACATCAGTCTATCCAGTGAGATGTTGTGGTAAGTTATTAGTATGGATCAAACTGCGGACCTCAAGGAGCTTCACATCAGTAGTCGACTGTGTGAAATGTTGGCTTTAGTTTTCACTTCCTGTCAGCCCATTTTAGCGTGAAATAAAAGTAAGTACGGCAAAGCATGATGCAGTAACTTGGTAGTAAAAATAGTTCTCTTTGAAAATCAGGTGTATGCGAATTGCATGCATATAATAAGCCATTACAATGAAGTTATTAGCTCGAATTGAGGTGATGTCAATGAAGTAATTCTTCCCAAACGATGTATTATTCTCATTCTGTCTCAACCCTTCCTTGTTAGCAAGTATTACTTTTGGAACGAGTTTAATTACTCTTATAATGTGATGGTATTGATTATACAAGTGTTTTAAGCATCTGAAGTGACTGTCTCAGTTATTTCTCTCCCCAATAATATGAAATTTCTATGCATTATCATTTTTTAGTCAGTGTGACTTTATTTGACTCTCAGATTGGAATCTTGTCTTGTGTGATAACCGTTGCATAGATTTTTATTTTATTTTTGCGAAATCTACTCAGTTAAGAGTCAAAACTGATTTTTGGAATTTCGAACCATCTAAATTTATTCGGTAAAATATTCCTAATAGTAAAAATATTATTAAATATATATTCGTAAGTTGTCTAAAGTACTCTTGAAACTACACTTCAAGTTCTCATCTTTTTACTGGATTTCTTTACGCATTATATTTCTGGTAACTATAAATAGGATCTTATTTTGCACTGTTTATTTTTCTTTTAACTGTAGCTTTATTATTGATTTCTGAGTCACTGTAATTGTACTAAAATAATAATCCACCGAGGTATTATTATTATGACAAGAAGTATTAATCTGACGGATTAATTCAAATATACTGCTGTCTGAACCATGGGTGACTAATATGCACTTCACTAAAAAGAAATTAACAGAATATGTTAAATGAATTCTAGTGAACATTATTTTACTTGAGCTAAATGTTAATTTGAAGTCATCATAGTAATGCATTTTTCTGTTTAACTGTTAATCTAGTAAAACTGGCTATGCATATAACACTTAGCTTGGACTCTATTCGAATTCATTGTAAACACTTGCGTATATCCATCCGGCTGTAAACATAAGCGTGTCAGTCTTGAAGTAAATAAACTTTTGTTCGCCTAACATATACACTGCTTACATAATAGTTACATCATGAAACACTGAGTACTTCTCAATTTCTAATGATAGTTTAGTAGATATTGAGCTGTGATGTAAACCACTTGGGAAAATGTTTTGTGGGATAAGTGAAGACAAAACAAGTCCCCACTTTCTTTTATATAAGCAGTTACTTGTTAGCTTTCTGCTAATGGTATTAGAATGAAAAAACTGATTACATTAAAGCCTGTTAGTCTTATTAACTAAGTACCTGCGTTAATTTACAAGACTTTCGGGCTGTATACAATTTTTTCTGGCTGCTGTATGAACTAATTTTAAAATTGAACCAAAGAATTAGTTTTACTGCGTAATATATATGCCAACTTGACTTTCCGTTGACTTTTTACGGAGGATGACATTTCGAGTGATATCAAAACACTGGCCACGTGTATAACACAAATAGTGAATATTTAAGTAAGAATGAATCATTTTTATTTGACTTCAGTGGTATTTCAAGCTATTCCTATCATTACACTGTTTCGCAGTTTGACCCTTTAATTTTCTTTATTTTCTGATCAGGACAACTATTCTACCATCCGTTGAAAAAATGAAATATGTTGTGAAACAACTGGAAGAATTTCAGAAAGCTTTCATCAAGAAGTATTCCTAATTTTTTATACCTAAATTTGCAATCACACAAATATTAGCTGTTAGATAGCAGTAGTCGCGACCACATTTGGATCGCTTGAATCTTTTTTTATTTATCTGTTTTCCGTTTAACAGTATGTCCGCAAAACTCTGTCTTTGAATAATTATTTCTGCAGTTTATCACTGTGTATATGTCATACATGTAATATGCATAAATATGTGCAGATTCTTATTTTATAAACTAATATTACTTTGAAAATTATTGTTTTCAGTCTTTTCCATTATTCCCTCATTCTTCAGTTTATACATATGGAATTTCCAATGAAAAAAAAATCCCACGAAATATATTTATTTCATTTATCACATCTACACCAGTAGTTTGTGTTTTCATACCTTAAGCTAACTCGCCTGTTTGAAAGGGATCAGTCTCAGTGAATTACGGGAATTTAGTTTGAATGCCGTTATTTTTAGAACTTATATATATATATATATATAGAGAGAGAGAGAGAGAGAAAGAAAGAAAGAAAGAAAGAGACTTAAATGGTCATACTGATCCATGGGATACATAGGAAACTACTAGAAGTGGCTAACTGACTTCAATGAGCTAGTCTTTTAGAGAAAGAAAGAAAGTGAGTATATTCAAAGAACCCATTGTTGGAATTTCTATAAGTCGACAAAAAAGGTTCACTAGAACTGACTATCCGTAAGCTCTTAGATGGCTACACGTTTTGATGTTAAAACTTTTTAAAAATTTCAGTACTTACCTCGAAAATGTTCACCGTATGTATATCAGGCAGTCGCCATTGCCAAATGTTGCAAATAAGGATAAATGAGGTTGGTGAATAACTCTTTTCATTTGGTAATTTTTAATTATCTCGCTGGCTTGTTTAAACTCAGCAAACTGGAATGCTTTTTTCGAAGGTCATGCTTTGCAAGTAGGATTATGTGTTGTAGGAAGGTAATGATAAAGTCTTTATCCTGCTAGTTGTGCAGTAGGGTATTTTCCACCGGCACCCTACTTTTAAAGTTAAACTACCTCCATATTTCCAGAGAAAATAATTGAAAAAGGTCAAAAAGGTTCCGCCTTATTTTCCTACTTTCTAGTATGGGTAACTAAGGTTGGACAGACAACCTTTCTGATTACATATAATCAGTTTGAAGCACACACACCTCTTAATTTAAATCTGTTCACACTTTTATAGCGCTAAGAAAATATTGGACTTACCTTGTAGGCATCTGGGATGCAGTTATTAGTTGTATGATTCTGATTAACTCATAAGCCTTTCTATCCGTAGCCTCACATTTTTGTCATCCTGTCTGCGTTGTCAGTGTTATCGCTGCCGGAGTTTTTCAGCTAATTGTCATATGGAAGTCTCTCAAAACGTTTCTGATTGAAGTTCAAACTGTACTTCCCATCTGAGAACACAAAATAATAGCTGAAACTCTGTTATTGAAGCATTTGAGTATACAGTGCTGCACTTGGGATTACTTTAAAGCAGTCTCATTAATAAGTGCCAATTCTGCCTCATCGTACAAAATTTTGGAACACTATATATATATATATATATATGTTAATGGGGAAATTCAGTTGCCTGAGAAGAATATTCATGGCTGATTAGTGAATACACCAATAAGGATAACTGTAACGTTGTATTTTGTTCTGAAAATTACTTGACATTAACTGCAATTCAACCAGCTTAAATATGCGAAAGCTTCGCTGGAGTAAAAATTATTCCGATGATTGGCTGTATAACAGTTAGCCACCGTTTAAGTGGACAAGCTGAATTTCCCACATCTTCCAAAAACACTTTAGCCGCCTTACATACGAGATATTTGGAAGATATCAAGACTAGAAGGTTTACTTTCAGGAATTTTAAAAGTTGCCAGTCGGCAATTATTTTAACTGACGATTAAAGAATGTAGCAAAATACTTCTGTTACAAACACAACCAAATCAGCCTAACCACTAGTCTTTACATTACTAGGGTTTATTAAAAACAATGAAGAGTTTTACAGTCTGTGACACGAGTACTGACATTAAGAACAGTACTTTCCCAACACGAACTTACCAGTGTTTGTTAACTGTGCAGATCTTGTAATGGCTAACTGAGGTGAGACGGCTATTAATGATGGGCACTATTAGAAAATTTGTTTACTCATTTGTAGGTGCATTCAAAAATTTTCATCTTCAAGCTCGTTGAGATTAAACGACTCGATTAACCTAAGACGCTCGAGAAAATAGATATTCTATGAAAGACCGCCAACGAATTTTTGTTTTAAACAATAGACTGAGAATGTTTGAAGTGCGTTTCTCAACTCTAAAATTTTAGGTACAAAAATGATCTCAGCCAAGATGAAAGCGGTTTCAACTCTGATTCATTTATCCTGTAAAGTGACCATCACTGATAGACATCCATCCCAGGTTTATTATCTTCACAATACTATAGTAATTTAAGCTTCAGGATATAATAAGAGTTACCGGTAAGCGCCGTAATGTTGAGTTTATTTTAATGGCATGGTTTGAATTGATAGATTCGCTCTCAAGACTTATGCGAGCTAGCAGAAACTACTTCGAAATAAATCATTTCCATAAATTATTCTAAAAACATCAGTACTTCAAGGTTATCCATCAAGCTTTAGACTGCTGATGAAATGTTTTCATGTGTTGAACATTTTCAGTGTTATCAATGAATGGAAATGCTTTTGATGAGTGAAGTATTATTTAAGAAGAGATTCGAACAAATAAATTTTTATGGACCCAGTAATCCAGTGACTGCGTCTGTTAATCAGGTATGATTTTCACTTGAGTCATCCAGGTTTTTTTCATTACCAACTTTATTCTCATTGAGGTTTTCTTATTTTTATTAAAACAGAATTGAATTGGACAAAGGCAAGGATTATAAGATGATAAATTTACTGGCTGAAATTATCTTTACCAAAAATTTTATGCAGCACAGTTATACTATACCTACGATGCTTTGAATTCTAGCCACCTGCTCCAGGTAATAAAAGTATCACTTGCCCAGGACTTTACTTTAGAAAAGTCTGGTTGGATATATTGAATATTTAAATTCTACAAGCAATTGATATTAATTTTTGAATAATGTACTTATGGTAACTTTCATAATTTACGTCATTATGAACATTTCAAATTACAAGAGAATTCATACGGGAAGATTTGTTTGTTCACACATTTCTGCCAGTGATTATAACCAGTTTGTGTTTACTACTTGCTTCCTCCGTCTACTTATTCTCGATTCCCTGTGATGAAGTTATGAGATCAGCAGGAATATGTAGTGCTGGTCGCCTTAGATTCCATTGTCAAATATTTTATTAGCGTATTATTAGATAGTTGGAGGCAATCGGCAGGAAGCCTTGGACCTAGGTTTCGTGTTAGTTGGCACTCATCAGCAAGGCGTATCTGCAACCCTGAAGGAACTCATGTCCCTTCTGAGATTCGAACCCGCGTCACCCAGTGCTGCAGTCAGAGACGTTACCACTGAGCTATTCGGACTCGCGATTATTTTATTAGCGTATTATCCTGATAAGTGACCACATTTTCCTAGTCTTAAAAGTATAAAATAATGATCACATAGCAGTACTGGTTATCTCTAACAGTCTTTTGTGAATTTTGGCAGATGGTAACTATCAGTGGAATCCAAGGTTAGCATTTCTTCCTATTTGAGGCTCGTCAAATGTATATGCCTGCATTTCCCAGTAAGTGATGGTATTCCAACTGGAACTCGAGCTCAGTATCCATCGATTGAAACGTCAAAGCCTTATCCACTAGACACTATATCTTCTAATTATTAAATCCTTAAATATCTATCCACTGTTGTGTTAGTAATCTAAGTATTCGTCTGCTTATTGGTAAAAAATGTATTTCTGAAGGGTTGAAGTTTTTGTACTATGCTTAATAGTAGGAATTTGTTTACTTCAGAATATTATGAATTCAGTATATTTATGCTTTCTTTCACTTCTAAATCAATCTAGAAATAATTTTTCCCTTCATAAATTATTGATTGATATGAAACCATTTTCGGATAAATTGTTTGTGTTTCCTTTATTTGCCGTTATTTAGATCATTCATACGTCTATTCTGTTTTGATCGTTTATTCCCTATAAAATAGGAAGTGTCGAGTCCACTTTTAAATATTTACTTCTCTTGACAAACTTGAACAAGTTGAAAAAAGAGACAGCTATTACTGTAGCTGTCCAGGGAATGATGAATGAGTATTGCAATAATTAGATTATTGATTTGAATTCTTATCAATCACCCGTAAAAATAAGTCTTTTAATATGAACATGTTCGGACGTTTCCCATATGCTGCTCACTGCAGGAACGATAATACCATAATCATAACCGTTAATTTAGTTGGTCTGGTTCCAACCTCTACATCTTAATAGAGTGCTACGCGATTTTAGTAACCATCAGTAAAATTTACCTATTAAACTGTTTTAAAATCAAGCCAGCTAAAAGTAAAGGGAAGGCAGATACTTATTTCAGCTGTAATAGCCGTGCAATAAGAGATATCCAATGGACCTATTCTAGTTAAATAGATGGAGGAGGTCAAAGTAGGCCAGATTGTTAACAGTTTGGATTCTTTGCGCTTTTCGTTTTCATCGTGAAGATAATTCTATGTGCCTTCCTCACATAACAATCACTCACCTTGTATGCTTGTTAGTCTGATACTGAACTTTAAAGACAGCGGACACCGCCGCTTTTCATATGTACATAACAACTAAGTAGAGGTTTTGGATTCTCTATGAAACGACTAATGTCCATACTTTGGTTTATCTGTCATGATACAGATTACCGTAATTAAACCTATACAAGGCACTGTTTTCCCGTTTACATGAGTAAATACCATTTTGGCATTGATATTTTCCTTCATTTGTTTGGCATAAAATGTAATTTTGGACGCACTTTTCAGTAGTAATCTCCAATACCATATTTTGGTACTGTCATGTAGTTAATATTTACACAAAGTTTTTCAGAGCATAATAACTAAACTTTTTTGTAACGTAAATCTCACACCCGAGGTGAATAGTTCTGTTTTCAATTAGTGCATACAAACATTAAATTATCGTCAACAGTGAAAACTATTCAGACATTTGTGATGTTGCTCACGTGGTAATCATTACTCTCAGTCGTTGCTGTGGTTTATAGCGTTAATTACTAAGATATAGGATGCCAGCTGATTGTGTTCTACGCTTCTCAAGTGAACATAATATCTGTGTGCTATCTAGCGTGGTGGTATTTCCACTGAAACACTAGACTACCACTTACGCCCTTAGGGTGATAGTGACCGCATTTTTCAGTTTCGGTCTACATGCTTTCTCAATGTGCACCCATTTTC